TTGTATTAGTGTTTATATGATTTTTCACGTCTGTTAGTACTTGCTTTATATAGGTGGGTGCACTAGTGTTCGGTGCATAGATATTTATGATTGTCATCTCTTCCTGTTGGATTGTTCCCTTTACAAGGATGTAGTGTCCTTCTTTGTCTCTCTTAATCAGTGTGGGTTTAAAATCTACTTGCTCTGCAAAGATGATAGCTATTCCTGCTTTTTTTGAGGTTCCTGTTGCATGGAGTATTGTTTTCCACCCTTAACTTTCAGTCTATGAGTTTCATTTTGAATTAAGTGCATTTCTTGTATGCAGCGTATTGTTGGATCTTGGTTCTTGACCCATTCTGCCAGTCTATTTCTTTTGATTGGTGAGTTGAGACCATTATCAGTGATGGTTATAACTGATACGTATTGACTTATCATTGTAATGACTTTTTCTTTCTGTTGGATTCCCCCCCTGCGTTTAGTTTCTTGTTGTGCCTGATGGGTTCATTCCGCTGGGCTTCCTCGGGTTGTGATCCTCATTGTCTTTTCCTAGGATATTATCTAAAATTTTTTGGAGTGCTGGTTTGGTATTCATGAAGTTCTTAAGGTGCTGTTTGTCATGAAAGTATCTTATTTCTCCATCAATTTTGAAAGATAGCTTTGCAGGGTACATCATTCTGGGTTGGAAGCTGCTTTTCTTTAGAGCTTGAAATACATCACTCCAAGCTCTTCTTCCCTTGAGGGTTTGCATTGAGAAGTCTGCTGTGATTCTGAAGAGCTTTCCTTTGTATATGATTTCTTTTCTCTAACTGCTTGTAGAATTTTGTTCTTCTGTTGGGTTTCTGGAATCTTACCAATTATATGCCTATGTGTAGATTTGTTTTTGATCAAGGCCAGTTGGAGTCCTATATGCCTCACTTATCTGAATGTGAAGTTCTTTTTCCCTGCTTGGGAGAAGTTTTCTGCCATTACTTCTGTGAACAGTTTTTTTTTAATGTCATCTGCACTCTCTCCTCTCTCTTTCTTCATTGACTCTGATCAGTCTTATGTTATTCTTCTTTGCATCGTCTAGCAGCTGTTGGATTGATTTCTTATGGTCCCTTGCAATTTTAAAGCAATTTTTCTTTTCCTGGTCACTAATTGTAATCTTATCCTCTATATCTGAAATTCTGTCCTCACATTGGCTCATTCTGCTATGTAGACTTTCAATGGAGTTTTTGATCTCATGGAAATCTGTGTGCATCTGTTTTATGGATTCCATTTGTTTCCTCTGTTGGGATTCCATCACGTTCCTCAGCTCCTCTATTTTTTTTTAATGTGTGTCCTCTCTAGATTTATTAATCATGTCTTGCA